GACGTGGGAAGGCCACGAAAACGATGGAGAGAAACTGTGAGGACGGAACAGGCAGTAGCCTAATCCACGAAGTGAAGAAGATGAAGTTTTTCGGAAACTCAAAACTTTTCTGTGAAACAGTGCTTCCCGTTACAAATATACAGTAGCGCTTAAGCGCCATTTTCTTAAAAATGGTTGCTAATTTTTCAAAGAAAATTTCGAGTTCGGTCGAGATTTTACTGTTAATACATAAAATAATATTTCCGTTCTAATATTTTCGAAACCGAAAACTTACGAATATTTCAAAAAAGTACTTGGCAAGAGTGTGTTAAGTTCATATAGCTACTCTAGGTCAAAGATAATAGAAACCAAAACAGGAATGTCTGTGCCATTGTGTAGCACCACTAGTTTGTCTAATTTGAGTGGTACTATAGGAAAAGTCACCCACCAAATTAATAATTGCCAGTTATGTGTTGCGTTATGCGTCAGCAACTTTGACATTCATAGTATATAAATAACTGTTGAATCTGCACACACTGCACTACATTATTGCAGTGCTCATTAATACAGTCTTTTAAACATATTTAATTTATAGCATTTTTATAAGATTGTCTTACTTAGGTTTTTGTATTAAAGCGTATAATATATTTTTGAATTAATACAAAAGTTAATCCCAATTTTTTAAGTAAGTAAATTTATTAGTCTTTAATTAACCCTATATTTTTAGTTATTTACACTTCAACATTATGTTTATGACGTTTCGTCGAGTTTTCGTAATTTTCAATATATCAACCTACAAATTAATGTTTTTATTCCATTACAGTACGTTCGTCATTCTGGGATTGTGAGTCATAAAATTCTAAAATTAAAGGAAACAAAAATGTTACATTAACAGTATATAAATATGGATAATTACATATAAAAGATACGTAAGCAATCAAAGTACAGCTCACCTTTGCCTAGATAATTATAATATGTCACATTGTCCCGTAGTTTAATTCAAATCCAGATACAGAGCAGTGTCATTTATTGCATACATATAGAAGAGTGAGATGTTCTTTGTTTGCATACTTACATGCTTCGGTACAAAAATCGGTTAAATTTTCATTTGCATATTTGGGATATTTTGCTATGGAGGTGGGCAAACTCTTGAACATTTTTTGATAGTGTATTTTTTATCGAATATTTCATAGGGTTTACTAGTTTATGAATTTATTTCAAACATAAACTTTAGGAATAAAATATTCTAAAATGGTTAATCTTTACCCATTGCTATCAAAAGAAAGAAAATTTTGGTTTCTAAAAAGGAAGAAAAGGTTATATTCATCTAGAATACTTCAGATATCTATAAATTGAAACCCACTATAAGTTATAATTGAGATACTAGTATTTGAAACTACTTCTTATGTATATAATTTTCTGTGTTTTGTCAAAATAGTTTTGGTCAAACGTGACTTTGAACTTCGTCTCTACTTCAATAATCGAAATACTTCATAAATACAATTTTTATATACATTGATCTGCAATGCACTGTCTTGATTGTTTTATATATACTTATGTATTTATTTGAATTTTTTAATAGTCAATTTACAAATATTGTTGGAATAATTTTTAGTTTTCGTGAAATGCAATAATCTTTAATTTTTTAAATGGAACCATGTATTTATCTTACTTGCAATAGCGCAAAAAAAGGCGAATGCAATTGTAATGCCTTTCGCTGCAGGTGTCGTGCTACTAGCAGTGATTGACAGCAATTACAAATGATTCCAGGACAGCAGTTTGGGGTGTCCCATCACATATGACCTTCAGATAAACCTAAAGATAAGCAGAGCGCCTGCTCCGCACGCGACCCTAATTTAGATAACTTTGAAAAGTGATATTTCTCTCGCGTACATATTTGAGAGAAATATCTATTACTTTTCTTATGCAATACTTCATACGTACGTAGGTACATTTACCATTACACATTGATGTTATATATGTTAATATTTTGATAGTATTTCGAGTATAAAATTATACTTTCAGCTATTTGATTTTAAATTAAATATGTAAGATTTCAACTGTAAATATACAACCCTTTCAACTGGGGAAGGTTGCTTTCGCGGCGCCGGCACTTTTACGGAGAGAGGGAAGAGGCCGCGAAGGTCGAACTTGCGACGGCAGCTACAGAAAAAATTGCATCTTTAATTTAAAACCTCACGTCAGAAGGTATAATTTTATGCTCAAAATATTAACATATGTTTCATCATTGCATTCCTATTTTTATGATCTATCTATTGCTAGTGAGAATATATTGTTCCATTTAAAAACTTAAAGATGTTTTAATTTGTCGAAAATCAAAAATATTTCAAACAATATCTCTCTCTACCTCGTATCACTTGCCCATAATTCCGCATTGTTGAGCGAAAACTGTTGGTCGGGAACCGTTTAGAAGTTATGAGGGTTGCCCTTAGTTGGTGAGACCACCGGTATAGAAGCAATCTTAAATTCTAGCCGGTGTCCTGATAAATCTCGTAGTGTCTCCGAAGAATACAGGAGCGAATACGGATCAGTACACTAACTACGGGCCAGGCACCGCGCGCTATATTTTCTTCGTCCCATTCAATGCCCATATACTTAGTCCTACATTCAGGTACTGCACTATTACACATGTTGGGAGACCAGACGGGAGCTGAGAGCGTGTCCCGACCGGTGGGGCTGTCCGGCAAGGGGGAATTCTATAAAGAGATATCTCGCCAGGCGACGGGTAAAAAGCAGGTTCTCAACATCCATTGTGTGGTGAAACACCGCTACTACCCAGAATATAACAAGCACATCACGCACGGTACTTATTACCATTGGAGTTGACACCAACCAATTTTAATTGATTGTTAGCAACGTGGCCCTGAGCCCCGATTGAATTGGTTCGCAGAGCGCGCGCGAGAGCGAGGCGAGAGAAGCGGCAGCCGCCATGGAGGAGGAAGAGGGCGAGAACGAGGTGGAGGGGTCGGACGAAGGCTCGTACGGGGGCTCGGGGGGCTCCGGCGGCTCGGGGTCGTGTGGGCGCGGCTCCAACGCCGGCATCTGCTCCTCGTCCGTGTCGTGCACGCGCCGCAACTGCGCGCGGTCCATGGCGTGCGGCGCGTCGCCGTCGTGGTGCCCGGCGCCCACGTGCGGCGGCTCGCGCATCTGCGCGCTCGGCAAGAACTTGCTCAAGGCCGCACAGAAGGTACAAACGCCTAACAAATGCATGCTTGATGCGCCTCAGAAACTACAACGTCTCTGGCTATGATCATAGTGCAGTCGAAAAACGCGCGTTTGCTTCCGGACTAGAGCGAGTAAAATCGTCTCACTTATTTCATGCTAAAACACCTGAATATTGGATCAAAAATCGTCCGAATTAATGAATCCAGAAAGTGCCCGAATGTTGAACCGGCATAGTCCGAATGCCCCCGTGTTATCAATAACTCATTTTTTGAAACATTCTCTAGAAGCAGTCTCAGGAACATCAAACCAGGCGTGAACTACTGCTTCCGCTAGCATTCTTCACTCAAGAGCTGGCCATCTTCTCGCGTCAATAGCGAAAGTGCAAGTAGTTGGGGTAGGCATTTTCGCACAAAGGAAATCATACCGCCATTGCACACTGGGGACGACAGGGCTCGCAGATCGAATGCATGGGGGCTAATGCTGTTCCAAATCCATGCTGTGGAACTATTTACTAACTTATTAAAATTGAGAACATCCCGTACTACTTCTATCTACAAAGGCCGTAATTCACTATTTGTTTTTGGGTGCTCTGCTTTATGGGATATGCATGGATATATCTTCCTTTTATATATTTGTTTACGTTCAATGTTACTCTAAAATAATATTTTAAAAACAGTGACTTTTTAAAAATACATTATTTAATTCTAGCTGACAAAAATGTCCAATTTAATAGTTGATTTTTTTACAAGGAATGTACGACATACAAATGATAGTAAAACAAAAAAGCAACCTCTCTGACGATATGTTACGGGCAATCGTGAGAGTATTATGAATCTTATTAATTGCAATGCAAAGAGCTAAACTTTTTATACATTGTTGTAAACGATTATAAATAAATAGTGTTCGTTGATTTGATATTTGAAATATTTAATGTACTATTGTCAGAAATAAAAGCAGAAAGAAAGCTTTTTAGCTTTGTTATAACTCATTCAATTAAACATAGTTATTAAAATAGTTTATTAGTCTCATCAAACACAAACGATTCAACATTACAATGTTTTCTTTAGCAAATCAAATAGCAAAGCAAATTACAATACCAACCCTTCAAGCAATTATAATACTTGGTGTCAAATTGAAACAAGTACGTCTAATCTATCAACAACAAACATTTCAAATATAATACAAAAGGCAATATTACTTTATCTGTATATAACAGTCAGTCGTGTTTTAATCTATTGTTCGTTCAATTTTCGTGCTACTTTTCGAAATGCGCATTCTTATTGGTGGTCCCCACCCCTAGAATAAATCTCGTCCCCACCCTTCCATATTGCCGTGGCTCGCGTGCGGCTTGCGAGGTCGGTGAAAGGCTGAAAGATGAAGGCTGTGCATGCCTGAACGTTTTTTAGATAGTCTTGGTAATGCAGATGGCCTTGACACTTGCTGATTTAGAGCAAATGGAACAATACGCACCGAGTGACACAGGTCTTCGACAGACAATGCTTTCAGAACGCCATCGGCTTTCAGAACAGGTTGTTTTGAGGCCACTGTGGCCATTTCCGTTTGTCAACATGTGTTTAAACGAATCCGGCAGATATAAAGCCCAGGGCACATTCATAGAACGGTCGTCATTGTTGTGGCTACAAGCATGGATGTGGCTGCAACGGCTTAGTGGGCGCATAGAAAAAACGCTAAAGAATGAAGTCTTGGCTGTAGAAGCAAAATCAATCGACATCATATTTGCACGTGTAAAATTCAGAAAATTTAACTCACTAGCTGAGAACTTATAACCCAGCACAAAAAATTTCACAAATGCACCTAACCAAACTACGAAACGGAAATGGATTGTTGTTGCTTCAAACGTTGGTATTCCTGAAGAGGCTCCAGCAATATTGCCCCTCAGGCGCGATTCTGAAAATGTCAAGTTTTATGCTTCAAAACTACGATATTTTTAGCATGAGAGTAGATCGCGATTCGTTGGTCACGAAGAGTATAGTTGCAGTCTCTTCAGACACAGTTCCTAACAGTAGTAGAGCAGTTGGTAGTGTTCAATCTTTTTGAAGTAAAACTTATTTTCTCACTGTGGAGTAAGGCCACATATTAAATCATAGAAACGCAACGAAAACTTTAGTATTTATATTCTATGAAATTGCCTGAGAGGAGAAAATTGACCGTGCTTTGCTGTATTTTTGGAAAGCGCTACATAACGGTGAAAACCGCAACTCGTTATGTCTGTAGAAGTCAAGAAATTAAATACAAAACTTTCACTAGGCAGTTTCAGCGTTTTCCGCCAGGGCAATGAATCCCCACCGTCGTGGATTGTTTTTCTTATTGTCTCTACTAGAGATTATTAGTAATTCGGAAAATATTAGCTCCGCGTATTAAAATACCCTCTTGTATATCATTAGAATACATGTGAAAACCCTCGTGTATATTATAGAATACCAGTGTATCAAAAAATGTGTCCACTGTATTATAATACATCCTGTACATTAAAAAAGTCAATATTATAGCATATTAGCACATGTCTGTTCAACTCAGAGGTTCTGAGAGCGAATACCAGCGATCTCACGTGCCCAGATATTCAACCGTAAGCGGAGTATTGTCGGAATGCGATGGGCGTCACTCAGCGCCCGGCGATAGATTCCGTCTCAGCTTCCGTTAGCCAACGCGACTCGCGATCTGAGGTCAGTCGGTGAGGCCTGCCGTGGAAATTACAGCGTGAACATTTTCCCACACCCTGAGCTTGCCTTCTCGTTGCGTGCCCCCTACACCGAATGAGATCAATGTGGATCAAAATGCCGCTGTGACTTTGGCGACTAGCTGGGATGCACTAGGTTCAGAGACATGATGGTAGCAAAGTTTCGACCCGAGTTACACATCGACAGACCGCTGCATTGCATCCATCGTCTGTATGGAGGGGAGTTCTAGCGGGCGACTGCTCTTGAGAGGTAGTTTGTCTTGTTTAAGCGACCATTATCATACCAATTGATTGGTTTTTAACAATCTTTATTTTTTGTTCCTTCTCTTATTCTCTCCCCTACACACGCATCCATGCACTATACTACCCCACTTGACGGGATACCAGCCTGAAGAATAGAGGATGTCCCGGGCGGGGAGGGGGGGGGGCGTTTTACCTTTGGGGGAAATACCTAGTGCGGCCAATCACCACAACCGAACTCATAGGTCGTCGCCAGATACCTCCATCCAACAGGGGAGAAAAGCGCCATTTAGGATGAAATATTCTCTGCACTAACGGGGCTACAGCAGTTGACCTTCTCGAAAACTTAATTAATTAATCAGTCTCCCTACATGTGCGCATCTCCTCTAGAGCGACTACGTTGCGTGTGGCATGTGGCAGGGGCGGACGTGCTACGTGGAGCGGCTGCTGGACGCTGGCGCCGACGCCAATTACTCATCCACGGGTGACTGGACAGCGCTGCATCGCGCCGCCGCCAAGGCGCACGCGTGCGTCGTGTCACTGCTGCTGAAGCGCGGTGCCAACGTAAACGCGCGCAATTGCTACGGCTTCACGGCGCTGCACATTGCCGCGTACGACGACTACCGTGGCAAGTGCGTGCAGCTGCTGATAGAGGGCGGCGCTGACCTCGGCAGCCGCAACCGCTTCGGCCGCACGCCACTGCACTACGCCGCCGAGTGCGGCAACGTGGCCGCCGTGCGCCTGCTGGTCAAGGCCGGCGCCAGCAAGTGCGCCAAGGACGACGAGGGCCGCACGCCGTGCGACGTTGCCAAGACGGTCTGCGTGCGGCGACTGCTCCGGTACTGCACGAGGAGAAGGGCGCGCTCTTGCATGCCGTGTGTCAATATGTACACGAGCTATTCCAACTGCGGAGGCTGATGCGATATGCGCTCTCTCGCTCGCGCGCGCGTAAAAGCGAACGTCATGTCGAGGCTTGTGCTAACTGGTGACTACGTCCGGGGTAGTATATGTTTTATGCTCTAAACTGTCATGCAACTCAGCAAATAAACAAAATTTTAACCCCAACAGTGAGTTTTATTAATTTTTATTAAAAATATCTGAAAGATAAGTTCAGTTTTAAGCCCAGATCAATTCATTACTAAGAAAACGTAGGAACAATTTCAATATTTTTCGATGAGATTTACGTCCAAATACGTTCAATACTGACGAAAATACAGATCATTTGATCTGACAATCCGGACAATCTGATTATACTTCACGTCATTAAAATATAGTTGTTTATAGCTAGATAATTCAGAAAAATACTGGTCATTATTATTCCGTATTTTATGTTTCAGAAAATCAACTTAAACCTATTTGTTCACCATTCAAGGACTAAGTAAAACATTAACTGTACGTTATTAATATTTACCCTTTCACACAACCACAACGAACATATCTTATTCAAATTTTACTTTTGGATTTGCTTTCTAGTTAGAAGCAGGAATCGGTTCGGGTGGATGCCCGTTCTCTACTCGGCCAAAGTCACCTCACCACCGAGTTTGCCTGCCCTTGAAAGCTGGATGCGGAATGCAGATGCAGAATTGCCCTGTGGACGTGTGGCTTCGCGTTCAACGTTCTGCGAGCTATGAGAAGACTCCAATCCTCCGACCTCTCTGCGATTAATATTCCTAACTTGGCAGCTCCTGCCGATAATTTTCCCATGACCCGTGATCAAAATATCTTTTGACGCGCTCACGATACCTTAACGAACAACTAATTACAATTTCTCGCTGGTAACTTAAGTTAGTCCGGAATTTGTTATTTTATGCACAAAACTGACATGTAACTCAGCAAATAAATACAAAATTGCAATGTGAATTAAAGGAGTTTCATTACTATTAATATTTAATTCTAAAGTTCATATTACAGTTACCGACATTAATAAATTGTAGGCTATAAAACCATAATAATAAATGAACTTACATACTGAAAAATCATTCAAAGTTCGAAAGAACATTAGAAAAGAATATTCCATTATTTAAAACGAGTGAGAATAGAGAGCAAAATCTCCAGATTTAAAAACTTACATCTTGATTTTTTGTTTTAAGTATTTTAAATTTTACAAAATTGAAAGGAAATTTGAAAAATGATTGCGAGAGAGGGCTACAACAAACCACCTACAACATCGAAGGTAACATTGTGCGAGTTTCCCGAATAATTCATCATCAAATAGTAAAAAAGATAATAGTGTAAACTTAGGCAAATCAGCATGACCGGCAAGGGTGACAAGTGACGCTGCTGCAACCTCGCAGCCTGAGGTGTACACTACTAGATTGGTGCATATGACACCAATAGTTCACAACCGTATGTACCATTTATTTTTACATTGTTTTTATGGCAGAGAATTGAATTATTGAATTGAATTAATGCCTTATTTTACGTGGCGAAACTCGGGCCATCCGGCCCTCGCTTCCGTCTAACCAAGCAAATTTCGCCACGCTCCTTTCACCAACTAGTAGAGGAAGGAGGTATTTCTTTGACGAGAAACATGCGATATTGAATTTACCTCAGATGAGTCATTTAGGCTTGAGGACGACATTTAGGCTTGAGGATTACATGCAAGTAAATCTACTAACACGGGACATCCGGCTTTACTTCCCCTCCGAAGGAAGGCGTACGAAGAATTTTTTCGCCCATAAAAATCCACGGCTTGATCGGGTTTGAACCCGCCAACTTGGGTACACCAGTCCGATACGCTAACCGTTATGCAGTGGAGACGTTTTATTCTTTGCTGTAAATTTTATTAATTTACTTTCTAAAAAAAGAATTATTATAAATATTTCTAGAATGCTCTCATCAATATCCTAGTGACTTTTATTGGCATGTAAGGCAAACTCTAAAATGGGAAAGAAGACTGTTTGTGATAGAAAGAATACGATTTTTTTAATAAAAAAAGAAAGTAATCTGACCTTAAATATGTATTATTTTTTAATGGTAATTGTTTTGAGTTTACAGTTGAATTTACATTTTTATTAACATAATTTTGAAATATTTCTGGCATGGTATTAAAATACAATTAATGCATACACTTCTTTAATAATTTTCATTTTCTTTATTTGTCACTCAAAACAACTAATAAGCTGGCTCTTCAGACATTTCAAGGTGTCCCATATAAATTCTTCCATTCTGTAATTAAAAATTTTCTTCGTGTCATTGCATTTTTGTTCTTTCTCGTGAAGGAAAACACGATTTACAAAAAAATACGATACAATTTACAAAGAGGAAAACACGCACTGAAATAACGAAAACCGTCCATATGCTTAATACTTAAAAATACTTAATTTTAGGAAACCGGTAAAATGATTTGCGAACCTTTTGCAGTTTACAATTACTATATCCGTAGATGCTACAAACGCACATTCCTGCCATTTATACAAACACAAACTTTTAGCAAATAATGAAGAGTACGCCGGACAAACACACAGAAAACACCAACAACGAACACACACTTTTATTTTATTGTAAACATCGATCCTCTCTCGCACTTACAAATTTAGCTGAGCACTGTAATTGGCGCCACAAACTGCTGGAGAGCGCCGTTTCTGTCGCCAAAATGTCACCAAAATACACTTGCCAGTAGCACGCCGACGCGTGGAATCCAGTCCTGGCGCGCGTTTCTAGCGGCGCACTTCAACAACTTATACTTGTGTTGCCAAATTGAATGTCTTATGACGCCTCATATCAAGGTGCTCTTTCTCTTGACTACTATTACATCCGCCCATAAATCTCCTACAACTTCACTGAGTTCAAATAACTACTGCATTAATGTCGAATTCTGCGTAACTTCCTAAATCTTCGCCAAGTTCAATTATCTGATGTACACTTGTCGAATATCACAACTTCCTACCTTTTCTACAGCTAACTTCTACACGCTCCAGCTCTCTCTACGCCCTATCGGCATGTCCACCGCACTCGTCTTCTTACTTCGGCGGCTCGTATAGAAAAGGGGGTTCTTACTAGCGCTGTCCCACGGCAAGACGTCGACTCCATCTTACCGGCCTTCGCTCACTGCACACGTCTGCTCTCCTCGGCGTCTCGAATAGAAGAGCTGAGCGGTCAGGTAGTCGGCTATTTAAAGGGATGGCGTGATGTCACGGCGAACCGCGTGACCGCGTCACGGTGAACCGGTTCCGCGTTTTTCATAAGTTGTTTTAATAGAGAGTTGTTAATAAAGTTGTAAAATAAGTTGTTTTTTTAGAGAGATGTCTGGTTTTTGATAAAGGATGCATGTAGGCAAGGTGGAATATTCAGGATAAAGTGAGGTGGTTATAAAAGGACAAAGCTGAAAGGATAAATGTGTTTGATAAATTCAGGAAGGGACTTAATATGTAGAATGGTATTTGTGTATATTATGAACGAGTATGTTGTTGTTCAAATGTAATATGTAAAGTTGTAAAATAAAATTCATTCACTTCAAACAGTTGAAATGTGAATGAAACGTACATTACATTAGTTAATGTTTCATATATGCAATAGTGAAGTTCTGACAACGCATCATTTTATTTAGATATTTTGTTCAAATGGAAATCCTTTTTGAAGGGACATTAGTCAGTAAAAAATGGTTATGACTGATATGCTATGTTACTTTTGGCTATTAATTTTTCATTTTATATGTATTTTCATTTTATTCTACTAATGTTTGTATATTTTATCAGTTATATAGGTAAATTTTGTTGATACATTTTTCTGCAGGATAATTTGGATTTTCATTGGTGTTGGGAGTTGCAAGTAACGTATAAGTAGCAAACTTTTTGTATTAAATTTGGTAAGGTAAATGTTTTGTTCCTTTTCTTTTGTTTCTTTTCATGAAAATTTTTACATTGTGTTACTATTGGCTGGGAGTTGAAAGTAACAACGCGCAAGCAAGTAACTGCTATTAGCAGAAATTGTTGTTTTTGTAACCAATAAAATGTCTTGACATTGAATGATTGGACATTAAATACTACATTGATTTGTCTATGTTGCAGGATTGCGGAGTTGGACGGGCAAATTTTCATTTTCTAAATATGGAAATTTTTATATAAATTATTTTATGTATTGTTGTAAAAGTCCACGCTGTAAAATTTTCAAGTAGTTCGTTAATCTTGTAAAGTTAATATTATGAGGTCATTCATAACAAATTTCCCAAAGTTGATATTTAATGATAATCTTAAAAGAATCCAATTGAGGATTAATTAAGAATTTTATTCAATTGATTTTTAATGTAAATATGGTAGCATACTTATTCCTTTGTTTTCACTAGTTTTCCCCAATTGCTTAAGGATGTTTTGTAATGTTTGTAAACTCAGGGGTATTAGGGTCTAAAATTGTATTAAAAATTGAACAACAGATGTGAATAAAATTTCCTGTGGACTATCGGAGTTCAAGAAATTTTAAGGACTGCTCGTTGCAATCTGTTATTTAAATCTGACCACCCATGGTGTATAAGTTTATTCCTACTACACATTCAAATTATATGATATCGTTTTTTAAAATTATTTTAAGTCGCATACCCTACTCAAATCATGAGCAGCTAATACATTAATAAAATCAATTACAAATCTATTAAAATATTAATATGTTTACAAAATGTTATCACTTTTTCTTCATAACGTGGTGATGATAAAATTGCATTAATATTTTCCCTCTCTAGGCATTATTGTCTGTTTTCATTGTGGATGAGGTATTACAAAAAAATGTGCTTTATGGACAGAATACTGTTGCAGATGGCTCAAGTAGGTTTTGGAACTTATTCAATTACAAATTAATTTGTAGATTTGAGAAAGATTTACAAACTTTAGAAGTTTGCTGGATTTTTCATTTAGCCATGATTCGTGCCATTGTATATTTAATGTATATAAAATTGGTTATGGTCGATTCTGTGTTTGGAAACAACATTATGTTTATCATCTGTTAATTTGATATTGTCAGCGCACTCGTCGTTTTAGGGCGCGTGTGATGGTACCAACGTACATTCCGGTACTTTTCAGTTAGTTTTGTAAATAATATTGTGCCTATCTTTCAAGACTGTAGGATCTTTTCCTTTTTCTATGAATCAACATCGGTCATTACAGAATTTTAAAAAACGCACGTACTCCTAATTTATTCAATCAATTGTCTTTCTGGTAGGGTAAAAATTATCATTCCGTAGAGTTTCCTTTCAGTGGATTCTTGTACAGTACATGATGTGAGATCGAAATTTAATTGAATTCTATTAATTCTTTTTAGAATGTATTTGTAAATGCAATCTCTAGATGAATTTTGTTAAGATGTTGATAATTTCTACATTTTTGGCGTTATGTTTATTATTTGTCAAAGAATTGCTCTATCCAACAGGTAGCAATTGTTTTGAGATTCTGGAAGGGAAGAATGAAAGTTAAGTACTCTAAAAGTACTTGTTGATTTTCGATACCAGTTGATTGGAAGCTTTTGTTCAGTCCTTGGGATAGATAGATCCAAAAAGTTTTTGAGAGCCCGAATGAATAAATTCTGTTATTATGAGTTGATGGGAAGAAGAATGTCAAGGAATTACCTTTGAATTTTTGAGGAATGAATTGAGCCTTTTTATATGCCTTTTTGCTATTTTGGCAAAACTAGGGAGCAGACTTGTAGATCTGTAGTTGGAAGGTAGGATATGTTTTTTGTCGAAGTGGAACAATTATTCACTGTTTCCATAATATAGGAAGTAATCTACTTTTTTGTTGTTTTTTAAATTACACAAATGTAATTTTTATCAAGATCCCTCACGCCGTTTATATATATATATATATATATATATATATATATATATATTTCCAGGAATTTGTAAACACTATTGTATTTTTGAGAGAAAGTGCTTTAAATAACTCTATATGAAGGTTTTACAAAACTCAAAGTTCTTCTGTGAACAAATTTAAAAAAATATCAAAAATGTATTTTGGGCGGCGATAAATGACAGCTGGGAAAAGTATGCGGTAAGTATATACAAAACTATTACGGAAAAGTCTGCGCCATTCTGTAGCACCACTAGTTTACTTTCCTGTATACGTACGTATATACGGAGTAATATACGTAATATAGAGAAATGCTACGATAAAACGATTTCAACGAAAATACGTTTTGGAGTCCCCTGATACCGAACAAATGTTTATTTTCAAAACGTCCGTCTGTCCGTCCGTCTGTGAACACTAAACCA